ATAACCAAAGCGATAACCAAAGCGATAACCAAAGCGATAACCAAAGCGATAACCAAAGCGATAACCAAAGCGATAACCAAAGCGATAACCAAAGCCGAACAGGACTGAAGTCAAACAAAAGGCTTCTTCCTTCTGAAAACCTCCATGTTATATACTGAATAAGATGCACTCTGATTGGATGAGAAGCTGATTGATGATGATGTCATACTGAAACAGTGGTGTAATGGTTGGCCAATGGGGGAGGGAGAACAATCAAAGCTCAGCAGTGTGGAACATAACAAAAACACACAGACCACACACTGGGACGTAAAAGAAGTACAATAAATGATACATGATTACTGGTAGACTTTAAATGTTCTTTGAAAATTCTGGTTCTGTGACTAAGATCTCATTTTTCTCTCTCTTTTAGGAAGTTGTGATGATGCAGTTCTGTGGAAATAAATTAGACAAGAAAGACTTCTTTGGAAAGTCTGACCCCTTTTTGGTCTTCTATCGCAGCAACGAAGATGGAACGTAAGTGCATTGTAGGTTGTTCATTATTTAATTACTTTGAATATTGATGTGAACTGAGAGCTATTTGTCATTTGCGAGTAAAAAGCCTACAAAATTCACATTAGTCTTAAGTGTTTTTTCTCATCAAGTGAGATTATGGTTGCCAAGATTAGTGATCCACTTCAGCACAGTGGAATATGATCAGGTCTTGGTGTTAGCGAATAAAATGACCTGCATACATAAAGTAAATTATATTAACTATTCAGTTGAAAGCTGAAATATCCAATATCCTCTAATATCCAATCACTGCCTTCTGGCTTTTATTGTTCTGGTCAAGATTCTTTTCTGGCACATCAATCCATTGCATTAAATGTAAGGCATTTAAAACAGTCAATGTAGTTTTAATGTTCTTAATGGATTAAAAAAAACACATACAGTAGGCCATTGATTTGCTTGGCTCTTTGCAGCATTCTTCTGCAGTTTTTTAACAAACATTTCGAGATATGTGATATATTTCAGATGTACAGGAAGAGCAAATATAACAAGAAAGCAGTAGAAAAAACGATTCTTTAATCTATCCTTAGACTATTAAGCATGCTATTCTGAAAAATGCAGTGCCATTTTACCTCATGTGAAACATTTCACTGGGCAGTGAATGATTTAATTTTTTAATTTGTATATAAATACAATATTTTAGCTTAACCAAAATATGTATATTGCACCTTAACAATACTGACATGTGTCTGCCTTTGCCTCCTTTTAAATGTACTTTAATAATATATACAGTAGATGTAGAAGGTGTCATCAACTAAATGACACAAGATCAGTTAGTTACAACTACTTTACATATGAAAGGCAATTGTGTCTCATGTTTTTTTTTGCTTTTTCAGAAAGTTAATTATACAATGTAAGTTAACTTGGAAAAGTGAGGTTTCTGTAAGAATTTAAGAATGTAAGAATGTCGGTCTTTTTCTTCTTTTGATAAATATTGTATGAATTTCAAATTCGTCAAAAATACTTACATAATATAAACATTACAACTTTCCAGAAATCTGAGCTGGGCTGTATGATCTGCAGTGATTTGTCTTAAACCTTTGTCTGGCTTGATTTTGTCAATGGTTTGGAGTCTCCAAAAACTGAAAACAGTGAACTAGGTACAGTAGGTAGGTTAGGTCCCCTTTTCATGCCATAAAGGCCCATGGGGATTGTGGGGCAAGGGCCACCATTTTCCTCAACCATCCAACACTGGAGGTGAAGGTGATGTGGTCAGCATCACGCTCCAGCAGGCCTATTATCCCTGGAAGGATTAACACCTGGTACTCACTTGGAAAGCAGGCGAAGTGGATGTGCGAGTTGTCTGGAAGGATTTAGAGTAAGCTACATTGCTTGCCCCTACCTGGGATTGAACCTGGGACCTTCCAGTCAGGAGTTAGACACCCTTGCCATCTGAGCAACCATGGCTCCCAAACAGTGAACCAAGGAAGGGTTAATAGTTTTTTTATCAGTAGTGCCTCTTTGAGTGACTTTAGTGACAAAATCCCTAACGATGGTATAAATTAAAAAAAACTTTCAAATGGCAAAGTTTAGATGTGAAGTTCATTTAATCTTAAAAAACATGTTCTTCTAAGGAACAACATTGTTTTTGATAAGAAATCCTTAAATCAGAAACCACTACAATAATACAGAAGCCACTTGAAACACTGTGCTGCTTTAAATGGAAAAACGTCCTGTTTAAGGAATGTTTGAGCACTTCATACTGGATAATATATTAATTGAAGCAAATTATCAGTAATGCATGTCCATAATAGACTCCTACCTGTAGAAACCTTGTGTTCCTTTCAAGTTCTTATGTAATTATGTATAAATATGAAATGTAAACCATGTTATGTACATTCATCAATCAATTTGTGAATGTAATTTGTTTCTTGAAAATCATTTATAAGGTGATATTTCATAAAGGTGAAAATCCGTAGACCCAAATAACCATTACTTCACATGTAACCTTCTTATTCATTCCCAAGGTTGACAAAATCACGCAGCATTACTTGTTCTTACCCTACGAGAGCCCTGAATTCTAAAAGTAAAAATGTATTGCTTGTTTATGATAATCCTATTTATCCTAGTACAGTAGACAAACATGTACACATTCTAAAAATGTAGATTAATTGATGAATAGATAAGGATTGTATTTTGTGAAGGACACACCTTAATTGCAGTGAAAATCTCTTTATAAATGTGAAGAACAGGTGTAAAAATGCATGCTTTATTCTACAATTCTACAATTGCTGTTGCTTGTTTAAAAAGTGCTAACAATTTAGTTAAGTAAAATGTACCTTTTTCTAATTTTATAATAACTGTACCGTAGAAAACTTTTACCAGCAGACGACCCTCTAGTTTAATAATAATTATTGTTTCAATAACTGTGAAATAAGTTAGACATATTGATCTATAACTACTTAAAAATGTAAAAATGCTTTCTATCCCATGGGTCCTGAGTGACTGGTGGAGAGTCAGGAGGCCTCTGAGTACCATCTCTTGTTAATTTGTCTTAAGTACAACTGGCACAATGCCATTAGACCCTATTTATCTTAATGTTATTCTAGTACATGTAACTCTTCGACCTTTTAAAATACCCTTTTCCTGTGTATTTTTTCTTTGTTTTAGAAGTCACTTCAGAAAAACTGTCATTTAAAATAATTCTGCAGAGACTGGTTTATACAGAGGAACATTTACTGAAGCAATTTTAATGAATTGCCTTGATCACGTTTACACATCTAGACGGCATCTCACCTAGGAGGTACTGCTTCTAAAGTGACTAGAAAAGACTGTAAGAGTATCTTTAGACATTAAAATGGCAGTGCAAAATGTGCTTTAAACCTGTCCTGGTCTTATTCAGGTATCTACAATAGTTTTAAGATAGTGTTGTCCTATCTTTTTCCAGTATACATTTGAAATTATTTGCAGAAATGTGTCTATTTTGTTCATAACAGGTTTACTATCTGCCACAAAACAGAAGTTGTAAAGAACACACTCAATCCAGTATGGCAAGCTTTTCGAATTCCAGTCCGAGCACTCTGCAATGGAGATTATGACAGGTGAGTAAATGAAAGTGCAAATTGTTGATGGTTACCCAGGACTCTCTTAGTACCCTATTTGAATGGCATGGAACAGTTAAACAGAAAACAATTAATAAAATTGAAAAACAGAGAAGCCAAACTTAAAATTCAACTTTAAGAAAAACGTATTAAAAAGATAATTGAACTAATTAGGAAAAATGAAATGGCAGTAATGAGTTTTTAAAAGGGATTTAAGAAGATTCAATAGAGAATGAACAAGGCTAACAGACTAGTTCAGTAGCAAATAGATAACTGAGGAATACATGGATTGAAAATATTTGATACCAGTCAAATATAGTTTGATATAAGATTATTCCATACCATTAATAATGTTTCAGATGTTGGCCACACATTTAAAAAAAATATATAAATCTCATTGTGACCAGGAACCTTGGGTTAAAATGGTTGAAATATGATTATAACACGATTCTGTTGAAATACAACAAGCAACATTCAGAGCATATTGAAATCTTCTAACAATGCAGTTGGAAGCACCTGAGTAGAAAACATTACAGTAGTCTACTGTAGTGAAGAAAGCATGAATCAGTGTCTTAGAATGACAAAGTGACAAAGAAGGGCATATTCAGGTAATACTACTAAAGTGGAAAAACAAACTTTCACATACTATCCTATCAAGCAGTATGAATGTCACCTTAGCCTTTCAAAATGTTTCTACGATATCCACAACACTGCAGATTCATCACAATTGATCTGTAGAAATTTGTCATGTGTCTCAACTTTTTTAATTTACTAACACAAAACCACCTGCCCAAAAGAATAATGTTAGCATCATTTTAAATGCTGATATACACCAGTACAGTATTGTCATCACATAAATTAAAACATTTCTCCATGCTGCCAGGCACATTAATGTAAAAGGGGCATATACTGTAGATATGTTGAATAACAGGGATTCTAAAACAGAGCCCTGAAGGACACCTGGATTTAATGGGACAGAAAGCTAATGAAATGTACCAGGGAGAGAGAGAATAACAGTGACCAATACTGTTAAATAATGAACATAAGTATGAATGGCGTCATATTTTGTAAAGTAGATTTAACATTATTAAGAATAACCTCAGTGGTAGAATACCTGTACGAGTGAAAGGTAGTGACCATGTTTCTGAAGCAGATGGTTTTCTTCCATTTAAAAATTAGAACAGTAAGTTCTCACAGTTATGCTTTAATTAGCTTTGAGCTGTAATATTGTTTATGATTAAAAATGTTTATAACTGCACTATATAACAAAACTTTCAAAATAGGTGGTTTATAAGTTATTATTTAATGTAAAAAATATCAGCTTTATTAATGGATATCATGGTTATTTTCAAACTGTTCAATAAAAAATTGACTGCATAGGAAAAGCCTTACCCATAAGATAACAACTAAGGAAAACATTCTTATTTCAGCCATAGATAGAGCTTAAGTAAGAACTGCAATGAGCCCAAAACATCATATGTAATATCTGATCTTTAACAGTGAAAATTATTATCCTTTGTTGCCGTTCCAAGAAATCTTAAATACGTCTGATTTTGAATGAGTCATATGAATTTACAGTATGTGTGGTTATTGTGCCATATGGCTGTATAGTGCAAAACTAACTGCTGCCATTTATTTTTGTTCCCTGGAATTAGATCTCTTTTTTCACCACCTATTCTTTTTTAACATCCCACCTCTGCAATGGAGCCATCAGAACTTATCTCTGAGTAACTGCAAACTGCAATCACATGTGCTGTTTTCTTGTTAACCACTGATAAGGGAAGCAGTTTTAATTGTTTCATTTCTGTTCATCACAAGATATTGATTTGTTACTGACAGTTCTCAGCAACAGTCTAGGGCTTTATCCCATTTTAAGAACCTTAAGTGTAAACCCGGGATTGAACTAGCCCTGCACATTCTTTTTGCCTGTGCTCTAAAAAATACGGTAACAGTGCTTGATTGCAAAAGGGAATTGGATATTAAGATTTTTCAAAGAAAACTGACTTAGTTTTGCATTTCTTCTTAGTCTCTGCTTCCTTTTTTGGTCACAGTAACTGGGTCTTTAGTGATGGAATTGGAGCTCTCTGACTATGGATGACAGAACAGTTATTAATTGCTAATAGAAAAGCACAGATCATAAAGACACCTTTATTGAGTGCAAGGCATGTAATTTCACACAATTCCATCTCTCAACGTTTTTTTTTCTTAGAGCCATTGCTGCTTTGATAATTGTAATCAGTGTTTGAATGGTAAATACCTCCCCATTATTACTTGTTTAACTCAAGGTCATCGAGTTTTGGAATCCTTCCTAGGTGTTTAGAATGTGATCTACGTTTATTTTCTGAATCTTTCTCTTTTTTCTTCAGGCTTGCAGATAGGTTCTGAGAACAGAATGTAGTACGAATTGCAGTGAAATTGGAGTGCAGTGAAAAAACTCTGCTTTACCAGCCGCAAAACCTGTGTATCTTCAGTTTCCTTTGTGTTTCATCCAATACAATAGGGTTCAATGTGCATCGTTACCACTAGGCCAACTGGACCACTCACCATACATTCACTGCTGTTGTTGTGTGGAGTGGGCATTGTTGGAAGCTATAATACTGCCCTTGAACATGGCCTTTAAGTATCAACTCATTTATATACAGTAATTGCAAAAGGTACAAAAAGGAAAATTGGTAAAAGTGGTAAAAAAGTGGTAAAACTGGCTTGCACGTGGTGATATGGCACCTTTGGTAATTAAAGGAAGGTAACAATAAGGACAGTTAACTTATGATACAGACTTATACTGCTGGTAGCTTGTAGTATCATGTTCTAAAATTACTTAATTTTTGTAGAGTGTATGTTATCTACTGTATAAAGTAATTGTTGTTGCATGAAGAATACAAATACAACTACACATTTACAGAAGTGAAGTAACAAATGGCAGTTCCCCCTAACCCCTATTTTCTGGAAGGCTATTTATCAACTGTTTTATTTCACCCACAGTTTTTAAAAATAAGAACCTCGGTAGTTGGCAAAAGATCCCTGCATGTTTAGAGAAATAAGAGACTGTGGTCAAGGACTTCTATTACTAATATAGCCTTAAAAGCCAAAGACACAAGAAGCACATTTACTGTATTCTCCTATAGCATATTTCTGTTCAATGCACAACATATATTACATATTTTCTGTGTTTTTTTTATCAACAGCATTAAAATTCTAAAATTGTTGCATGCACTGTTTAAAGTACAAAAATCAACTCACCAGTAAAAGCAATCTACTGTATAATCACAGAAAGAGTATTGTTGCCACTTCCCTTTGCCATAAACCCCATTTGCAGGTGGGTGAAAGCAAGGATGAATGAATTTAAAAGCACAGCATGAACATTCTGTGTTGGAATATTTTTTATTATATTTGTAAAGTGTTTAAGTATTACTTCCAAGGATTGTGGAAAAGAAACTGCCTGTGTTCTCAGGAAAAAGTCAACACTTTACAAAAATATCTTTTTTTACAAAAACCATTACCAGTCTGAAAATATACTGCTTCAAAAGGGAATCTTCTTGGATTACATTTAGCACCTTTAATGATTGCTTGCCATGGGAATTCTCTTAAAACTAGTCCATTACATTGTGTATAGAACCAGGAGAATATTTCAATGGTTATAATAATAATAATAATAATTTATTTTAAGCTACAAGTTACAAGTGAAGTTTAGCCATTGATGCTCTTTCTGTGTTCTCATGAAGGGAAAGGCTATTTATTACCAGAAAAAAATCATTTTCTTTTGTTAGTAAAATAAATGTATGATTACTTATTTAATAGTGGCACTCTCTGCAGACCATGTCTATGATATATTGTCTTTTTATAGCTGAGATAATGGATGTAAATATCTACTGGATCTGAGTACTTAAGTAGTTTTAAAGGTCTAGCAGACAAAAGCAAATGAATAAGGATAAGGATCCTTCCTGTGGAAACCACTGACACGTCTTTATTGTGCCTTTTTGCTATGATTCTTCTCTGCAGATGCATTACTGTAGTTGAACTCTCTTTAAGTCTTTAAGAATTAATTTTCTATAACTTAAGAGTGCAACCTTGGCTCCAAGATTATGAATGTATCCATGCCCTTTGAAAAATGTCACCGAAAGAGTGTTTTAGCCACAGTTGAAAATGGGGAAAAAACTGTCTGGGGACTCACCTTAGGGAAAGTGGGGGTTAATGAACTCCTCCAGAAGAATTAAAGTCTCAACATGCAAAATGTGGTGTTTAGGACATACATACTGTACAGTAGTATGTCAACATAAGCATCCCAATAATGTTCCTTTGAGTTTGAAACATGTTGATTGGTTAGACCCTATGTCTTCTGTTTTCCAGTCTTTATAAAAGTAATCTCTTTAGAGTAAAATACACTGTGGATATTATTTTTTTGTTTTTCTTTATAACTGACAGGGTCATAATTTTCACACAAAGATATATTTCATGGCCTGTTCAATAAAAGTGCCACATGCAATACGATTCCAATAAGCCACAATGGAACTAAAATAAAAAATAATTAAGTTTGACTGTTCTGTAATTCTCAATGATAACTCGTTGGTGTATAGAAAAAAAATGATTCACTTGATTTATTTTTAGTGGATCTAGTCTATTCTTTTCACACTAAAGTCAAGTTAAAAATTTTGGACAAGGTGGTGGCTGTTAAGAAAGCAAAGTTAAATGTTCACTCATTTCAGGGCGTTTGGAGAGATGCATATAGATTTGTTCAACACAAAGACTGTGCAGTTTGTGCTCTGAGTGCGTGGGTATGAAAAACGTACCACAATTAGCAATTCTTGTGAGATGCTGTGACTCAGATGGAATTTGAGCATGGCACAACTACGAGGGAAGATATAGCTAAGACTTTTATTAATCTTTTTGAGGAAAAGGGAGTTGACATCCAGAAAATATGTTCTGTGACAACTGATAGTGCCCCTGATTGGGTCAGAAAACAGAAAGGATTTGTAAAGATCATTGTAGATTACATTGACCACTCCATGGTATATTTTCATTGTATTATTCATCAGGAAAATGTTTGAGCCAAGATTTTGTATTATGGTCTTAATAATGTGATGAATACTGTGATGAAAAGTTGTATATTGAATTTTTACTAATCAAAATGGAAGTAGGGCAATTTTTAACCTTAAAAATTATTAAAGTAAGCAGGCAAATCTGTAAAAAAACAAGTGCATGAGGAAACTCTTGGTACACCCCTTCTGGAAGGTTACCGATCCATGGTCTAGAACTTAAGTGCATTAAACAGATTCCAAATGAAAGGAGACCATTCGACCCATCTAGACCAACAGTAGCAAATTGATAATGAGGATCGCATCCAGCCATTTTTAAGAAGACGTCAGGGTATCATCTTCATCAACATGGCTGGGCAGCCTTTTCAAATTTCCAGTCCCCTTAAACATTTAAGTACACAATTATGTTGTTAACGGAAGACATAAACAACAATGTTATTTTCACCTGGAGCTGTGATTTAAACTAATTTATCTAAATCGCTCTGTGTTTCTTTCACACTTTCTCTCCCTTTTACTGTCTTCCCCGCTCTCTTGCTACCTCTTCCTCTCTCACACTTTTGAGATCTACAGTTTATTTGTAAATAATAAAAATAAATAAAATATGCTGTATGCATAATATTATAATAACAATCACATGAATTATACTTCTAATAATAACAAAACTAATGTTGGGGGTACAGGAATCCGGTGCCTGTGCTGTGGGTGCCCTTTACATTATGTCTACAGTACACTGTACAGTAGGTGCTGGGCTTGGGGATCCAAAAACATATGGCCACAATTGGCTAATATAGCATGAGGTGGCAATTTCCTCTCTTAGAAATGTGGGATTGAATTTAATTCATTTAAAGAGGGAAGCATTTTGGACTTTCTTTCTTAATATTTTCATACCTTTGGATATATTTACACCTAAGCCAATTTTTGTAATGGTTATTAAGAATCAAAAAGAAGGACCATTTTAATGTATTTAGTGATATTTGCTCATTTACTGTATATATCACATAATAAAAGGTTTTGCACCCTCTTTAAGTAACAGTTTAGAAATAGTTGCTTTTGATGTAATACTGTAGTCTGTATCCTTCAAGTGTTCTGAATATATTAGGTTACATGTATTGAAAGTTAGATTAATCATTCATGTGTACAGTATATCTTCATTGGCTTTTTTGTGTATGTCTATATTACAATACAGTAACTACTTCATAATTTGAAAATGATCTCAATAGAATGTGTATTTATCATGTAGTTTGTTTTTGCTTATTGTTAGGTGATATAAGGCAAATGTGTGTGTCCCTACAAAGCTTTTGTGTGACAAAAAGTTAATTGTATTTAATAAATTCCTATTTGAGAATGTGCATTCTGCTTTTTTAACTGTTTAAGCCTGAGCTGGTTGCCATGGAAAGTACATGTGAGCTTTTGCTTTCATACACAAGAGATGAAAGTAGTTAGTCTTTGCATCCTGCAACACCAAAATCCTTTTAAATATTCCTGGAAACCCTGAAAACACTACAATTTTACAAGACTTTAATTTAAGGGGCACCATTTATTGCATTATTTAAAAGACAGAACTATTTTATGGATGTTTTCATTTCACTCACTTGTTTTTGTTTTCCCAGAACTATTAAGGTTGAGGTGTATGACTGGGACAGAGATGGAAGGTAAGTGGGCTGATTATTTCTGTCAGTTTAATCAGTTTAATTAGATTTCCTGTTACCAGAGATCTCTGCATTGTTGGAAAGAAACATCATATCACACATCTCTCAAAACATTTTGCTTCAGCATATATCTATTTAAATATATAAATTCACCTGATATGGAAATTTGACTTTTTTCACCCATCAGAAAAGCTGGACATTAGGTGCCAGATGCTGTAATTTTAGATTATTTAAAATAATTCAATAAACCAGAATTCTGAAACACCTGACAGCTCATTTCATTCTTTTAAATTTATTGCATTTTCTACTCGTGTTTTTTGTTTTGTAAGTCATGATTTCATTGGAGAATTTACTACAAGCTACAGAGAACTGTCAAGAGGTCAGTCCCAGTTTAATGTGTATGAGGTGAGTAACCAGACTTTCATTCTTCCTCAGAATATTTATGCATAAGCTCTTTCTACAACTGATATTTTCATTACAACAAAATATGTGTCTAATGAAGTTATTAAAAATGCATGCCTTATATATGGGTTTGGGAGTTTTTTTTGCACTAGTAATTGCAAATTGAATATGCCATTTTATACTAGGAATTGAAAATTGAAAATGACATTTTTAGATGGGGAAAGTAATGGGAATTATGGAATTTAGCAGACTGGCAAGTGTCATTACTGTGCTGTATTGTAGGGGAGAGTGTGCAAATGGAAGCATCAATCATGTTCAGTCTTATGTGAAACCAAGTTTACCCATAACTGCAAATAATTTTAATACATAACTCTGTTTATGGCAAAAAAACAGATTTAGTACCATGTTCCATTAGGGAATACCTTTGCTGTGAAACAGAATTTTATCTCTTTGATACACCACAAGCGATTTTTTGTCAAGATGATGTACAAGTGCCGAAAGTGTAATGTTAGTTCACACAAACATAATCTGAGTTCATGGCATGCATTTTGCTGTTGTTAGGTCATTTCACTCGTGAGGTACACTGTGAAGAGAATTACTAAAACTGTTTAACAAAAAAAGTTTCGCTCAGCCAGTATGTTAACAAAGTGAGATACAAACATTATGCGTACAAAAGAAGAAAGCTCGGTGCCATCCTTATTTGGTGATAAAAAGATAAAAGTACGTCAGTTGATTTCTGAAACAATGACTTACCTATTGGTTTTCTTATTTCTTCTGTTTGTTACATTTTTTATAATTCATGCTTCAAGACATTAGCAAACATTAGATTTTGATTAATTAAATCATATTGCATGATGTCAACACCTTAATGTTGAATTATTCCTCTCCAGACACTGTGCTATTTGGTGTAGTGATCTTGGCACTTTTTTGGGAGTGGTGATGTGTACAGTATACTGTATACTGTATACTGTATACAGTATACTGTAAGCCAGCAGTCCTGAGTGCACAGCTCTGAATTAATTATGTCATTTGCTGCCCTTCCTACAGGCTTGTCTTGATATATATTAATAATTCACATCCTCGTTTGGCTTGTACTGTATAAGAATTGCTTTCTTGTGAAATAAGAATGTTACAATTATACAGTACATGACTTACTTTCTAGACTTTCAGATTTCTGGGAAGATATATTGTGATGAGATGTAGCATCTAAGGTTCGGAGATGAGTGAACAGACTGGTCATATCTAGATCTAAGACAGAACTAATTTAGGTCTTCCAAGAGAAATGGGATAGAATCCCACAAGACAGCATCTGCAACCTGCTGGAAAGCATGTCTCAGATGTACTGCTTACAATGCTTCCATACCTTTTGTTGATCAACACTTTTGATGATAAATGGTAAACAGTGATTGCATCAAAGCAAAGATTAATTTACAGTACCTACTGTATGTCATCTGTTCAATACAATGTATTAGGTATTCCAAATTACCCTGTGACTGTGTGCATGACATTTGAAACTCAGTGAAAAATAGGGTGCACTTTATATTAAGAGAAACCACTCCCAGTGACAAGAAATGTCTCTGCATATACATAATAATAATAACATAGACAAAAATACAACTTATGTATTTTTACATGGTTGATTCAGATAAAGAAATGGGGCTCAGTGTCATTATCATCATCTGCTATGGCTTAGCAAAGTTATGAGGCTATTTTCTGTGTGGCTCTACAGTATGTGCATTACTCACTTCTTAAGTCAGGATGTGAGCTCTAATTATGAGTTTAAGATCAAAGTCGTTTTTTTCTCATCTAGTTTCACAGAATAGTTTTCTTGTCTTCGAGCTGGTTACGTGACACGTAATGTGGTGTTCTAGGTGTCAAGTGAAATGTAAGCTTAGTATTTAATCTTTTAAGTATCAGAATCAAGGAAGGCTTTAAGGTACAGCAGGAGGGTTAGGTATAGATAAGAGACATAGATAAGAGAATTCCAGATACAGTACTCAGGTCAGAATTTAAAAAGTGGCACACAGGTTTAAAGTGCCAAATTCAATAATAAATAATAACCACAGGAATTTTTGTCTCTATGCAAAACGTTTTATATAGAAATGTAGATACAGAGATGTATGTGAAGAGAAATTTCAGAAATAACCTTAATAATTTATTTGTCAGCAGTACATTTTGAGTCAAAATTATTGTCTGTGTTCCCTAGTTGCTTAACGCGTAAACATGCTTGCTGGAGTGCAGGTTGAGTTCTGTGATTCCAGATTTGTGGCTTTGAGTCTAGGTCTTGCATCAGCAGGATTTAGCAGGATGTCCCAGGAGATGGGACTAAGCCTGCTGAGGACAGGACAGAATTATATTGCCATGGCAACCCCTGTCTCCTCCCAGGAGCTTGAAACTTGAAATATTGAAGGTGAGGGGCTTCCCTCTTCTCCAGTTTGCACTAAACTTCCAGCACAGGTCTGTGTTGCCTGTAATGTGTTAGAAGAGGAGTTACTAGAAGGTGGGCAAGCTGGAGTCTGCTACATGTCATCATTCTCCCTCAGTGTGCCCTTGTAGAGTTCATAGCCATGAACTGAGACGTGAAAAACACTTTAACAAAAATAAATTGCATAACATAAAATATCCATGAAAACTGCTTAATTTGTCAGTTGGAAAATGTCAAAGAAAATGTTAACCTTTTACAGAGATTTTAAATATTGACATACCACAACCAGCAGACATAGAAGCATTTCAGAAAACAGAAAAAGGCAGAATCATTAGATCTGTCCAACAAATTAGCTGTCAGTATTTAAGTAAATTCAATACACTGTGAAAAAACAGAATAAAAAAACTTTCAGAGGTTAACTATATTATTTTTACATAACATTCCTTGGTTTATTTGTTTTCTCTTTTAATATCAGTTAAGAGACTTTACATTAAACCTACGTAATGTGATAGATTTTATTTAGAATATTCTGTTTAATGTTTACACCATGTTCAAAAAAATAATAATTTCTGCTGTTATTATAAGTTTTGGTAAATTCAAACAAAAGGACTTAATCAGAATCAATAGTTAAACACAAACCACAGGAAACAAATGGAAACTGTGTGGAAGTGCATTTAAATTTGATAGCAAGGGGCACTCTTTTGCACAAAAATATGCGGCTGTTTGAAACGACCCACTCATATTTGCCAAAGCTGAAACCTTGACTTCTTTTATGAAAGGACTGGTTTAAATTCTTTGCTACTTGTGGCCAAATGGCTTTCTGCAAATTTTAGCCTTTCTTTTCTTTGAGAGAAAATCAGGGAAAGAGTGTTCTGTTTAGGATATCTGTTCAGCAATTTTTTTTGTCAAATTTGTTCTACATGTACATTAGATCTGTCCAGACATTTACAAGTAAATGGAATGATGTTGTTGTCCATGCTTTCAATTGCTTCAACACAAAGAATTGTATTTAAAATAATGATCACGATTACATTTTTATTTCTTTTTTATCAGTTTGGGAATTTGTGAGTGCCAGACTATATACTGTATGTACTGTATGTACTGTATATGTACTTTTGAAGAAAAAATGAAGCAAGAGAAATATCAATTTACAAAAGGTGGTTTAATCAACAGTTTGTCAGGACAAAGAGTATTGTAATATGATGATTATGTTAATGTGCTGTCTTCATATGAACACTATTTTCATTCTTTCCTGTTTGTTATTAGTCATCTCCTATGTACATGCTTTTCTAGGTTATAACGATTTAAAATTGTGCTCACATAAAATTAAAGCTTGCACTATTAAATTATTTTTTTCAGTAACTAAACACAACGTTGTATATCATGGTCGAATATGGTAGCAGGTGTATTTTGAGCCAGTTGTCAAAGGTTCCCATATTTCTGCACATCAATTTAATTTCTTTGCACCTTTATTTCTTATTGCAAAATACGTATGTGATCATAGATCCATAGACTTTAAGCTATTACTTGTAAATACTTATAGTATAAAAAAGACTGAATAGATGGCTGAAAGTCTGATTTGTATTTTTATGTATGGAAAGGAATTGTAAAAACATTTGAAAAATTACACTCTGTTCATTAAATTGTTTCTAAGAAAAGGCAGAATGAAACGCATTCAACTGCTACTGAATTTCAATCCTGTTAAGACATGCTCATAAGCTTGTTCATTATTTTTCCTTAATGTCCTTACTTTTTCTCTTAATATTCTTGAACAAGGATTTGCATCTGATGGCTTTATGATTTAATTGCATGTCCAAAAACAAAGAACCCAAGCCTGAGAACTGAAACGGAGAACCCAAGAAGTAACATTCTTATACAATTATTAAGTTTAATGTTGGTTAAAATAAAATATGGTTGCAACTCATAAGGCACCAAAACTTTGACGTGTACTGTAAGAAAAGTTAGCAAAGGTTAGTTGCAGAGAGACCTGGGAGGTAAAAAGGGTGCAGTATGTGGGCGAATTCTGTAAAAAATCTGGTTTTACAGAATTTGATGCAACACTGGGACATTCCATCTAACAACAAGATTTTTCCTGGAAAACTAGGACAGTTGGTACCATAAAGTAGTGTGCACTGAATGTGCCACTTTTTAAATGAATGTGAAATGAATGTCATTTTTTAAATGACATTGATTTAGAAGGCCAGAATTAAGTGAACTATAAGGTTTGCCGTACTGTCCAAATGTACTTCATTTATGTCATATGTACAATGTATATATAGTAATAGGGTTGGTACGGTGATAGGGCAGTTGTTGCTACTGTCTCTCAACTACAATACCCTGGGATTGGGCACAGGCTTAGCATGTGTATGTTCTTCCAGTTTTTGCCTGCTACCTTGGTTTTCTATCACCAAGTAAAATCATGCTGCCTGTGTCTGATTGGCTCTGATTTGAGTTCCTTTAACATTTTTTATTTTTTAACAAATTTAATGATTGTGACATTTGGCATTAGACTATGCACTTCAACAAAACACTTCCAAAACCTTTTCATTTGTTTGCATTCTGCAATTCAAACTAATTTCATTTAAGCTTTTGAAATTAAACTGCAAAATTGTTTTAATCCAAAGTCTTACAGGACTTTTAACCCTAACCCTAGGTCCATCCAGTTTTAACAGTATTCTCATTAATGTTTTGGTCATTATTTTGATTTTGGGACACGAGTGGCAAATCATCAGATGTCTTCATTCAACCTTTCAGGTAATCTAAATTACACTTAATTATTTTTTTTATTCTGTGTTTTTGATCAAACACACTCATTGATAAAGTCTTAACCATAAGCAGTAGGCATATCCTCACATTCAAATCTGGAGGACTAGGGTTAGGGTTAGAGAACCATTCAAACTAGACCTATATAAACAATGTGGATCTGGTTAAATGTTTAGTAGTAATTCAGATTTATTAGAATAATTTCAAATTTTCTGTCAGTCACCTAGGTCTAGCAAAGCTCAACCAAAAATATGTTTCTCCCTTGTGTGTGCACCAAAAGTTTCTTGACTATATATCACATCCTTTATTCTGAGAATTTTACTGGGGCTTTTTTTCTTACCTGTCTTTATCAGTTTGAGCTGTGGATATGCTGCTCAGAGATTATCTAGTAAGAAAATAAATGCAGGCATTCTCACAAGACCATATATAAGTATAAGATCTGCTGTGGTGTTTAATCAGGCTTCTCTATAAAATTATTCATGGAGACTAAGAATCAGGTGTATGGTTTGACCAAGGTTAGAATTTGTCCTTTATGTTACAATGGACAAGCAGGTTAGTTTTCCTTTTTGGTTTTTAGTTTTAAGGAAAAGGTCGGTTTGCTTTACTTTTAGTTAAAGCTTAGAAGGAAAAGAGTCAGAGATAAATTTTGGGATAACACAATGCCACAGGAAAAAAGCACTAGTAATGGGCTGACTTGGAAATTGTTTGGAAGTAAAAAATTGGCCATGTCCGAGAAATGCTCAGTTGTGCATTATCTGTTCACATGACCCATCCATAGACAAGAGATTATCTTTGGAATTGTTCTTAAAGGAGAGTATTCCTCAACCAACTACTGTACTTCTGATCAATAACATGGGAAAATGATTCCTGAATATTATGATCCTAGAAATTGCTACACAAGAAGCTAACATTCATCAATGCGTTTTTCTCTCTTGCATTTTACAGACGACAGTTGAGATTTTCATGTCATGGCTGACCTCACACCCTTTATTATTTGTTAATGCCTAACAGTGTGCCAGTGTGATCCATCAAATGAATTAATACACTAAAAAATATTATTTACTTGAAAAATGTTGGAAATGTTGTATATTGTGTAATGCTTTTACAAAACACTACCCAGGCAATTATATGTACAGTTTAACGTATTTTGGTTATTGCTATTTTTGCAGGTGCTAAATCCTAAGAAGAAAGGAAAGAAGAAAAAATACCTAAATTCTGGAACGGTAAGAATAGATTTTCATGGTATTTGTTTTTAATAAATGTCTGTATTATACAAAATACAACATACACCCTGTGTTTATTAACATAACAAATGCTAAATTTAGACATTTAAATTCAGTGCTCTATAGGACAGAATTATGGCATCTTGTTCAAAACTCAAAATTGATATACAAAGGCATTTAAATGTATCCAGAGATAAAACTAATAAGTTATTTAAGCACTTAATTTGGACAAAAACCCTTCTTTGATACATACACATATAAATATTTGTAGATTAACACACACCTCTTCTACAAGTCACAATATTAGGAGTCCTTTTCTCGGTCAGTTGGAAGAAGACTACAGTAGGATCAGGACATGATATTCCTGATTGTTCCACCAGGTTCTGAAATATTTGCTGTCTAGCCCAGCCCATGAAGTAACCCATGCTATTCTTCAGGAATACCTTGAGTTGAGTTTGAAGCTGTGATGAGTTTGGTGCATTTTGGAATTCCACCAAATAGAACATCATTTTGTTTAATATTTTTGTACATTTATATATACTATATATAAAGTTGTACATGCAATATGTAAATTGATTCATGATATCCTGCTGATTATAAAATTCTTAAATTGCTACGGTGCCTTATTATCTTCTCAAGTAAAATATTGTTTTTATTAGTTTTATCTGAGCTTGTGTTTTCTTTGAAATAAAGTTAATCAGATAATTGTAAAATGGAAATATTTAATAATTTAAAGTGTTTGTATCAGAAATATTGAAGAGATATATTCTTATCTGTGAAAATAGATAAGAAAGGTTTACAACAGAAAAGTCCGCAATTAGAACACAGTTTTGGGAAATCAAACTTTGCAAACATTCACATTCCATTTTCTTTTTCTTCTGATGGCACAGTTTTAGCTGAAAATTGAGGTACTGGGTGATATTCCATGCTGTTGTTGTTTTGGTTTTTGTTAATTGCATGTTTTTTTTTGGTTTGCAGTGCAAAACCATGAGTGAGTGAAGTTGTACTGCGTTCTTCTAAACACTGCTAAATGGAAAATGCTTGTATTTTTCATTTAACAACTTTTTAGAAGGTTCTATACATTTTAAGTTGCACAAATGTATTCTAATGGTAAAGATAAAAATATGTTTTTGATTAATGGCACACTACTTGTTTCTTGTCACCCTTCAGCTTAACTTAGTGGTATGCTGTTTTTGTATTTAAACTGATTACATAGTGCTAACAAAGAAACACACACTTTACCAGTAGAAACACTGAACAAATTGCCATTTGAAGTGACAAGTTCAAGACAGTAGCATGGCATAGATTTTAGGGTTCCTAAACTGGAGAGATATGGGCTCACATTTTGGGTTAGACTCTGGAGTTGTACCCTTAAACGAGGTACAGTACTTTACTCATGGTGCTCCATGAGAGTTTGTTGTCAGCTGGTTAAATAAATACATTAAATTTGTAATACAAATTCCATGTGGAATACTGTAGCTGAAATTGTGCATTTTTTGTAGTTGATAATATTTATAATACATTTTAACATTCTTAACAGGTAACCTTGCTGTCTTTTGCTGTGGATATTGAAGTTACCTTTCTGGACTATATTAAGGGCGGGTAAGTAATACAGTTACACATTTCATCCACATTTTTAATGTCAAACTAATAGACCCTTACTGAATAATACTTTTTTTCCATGATAGGTATATCTGGGGCCACCTTACCGCCATAACCAGTCAAGAGATATTACTGCATCTGATTAGAATTTTGTTAGGTTGAATTGTATGTGGATCTTTGGTTGAATACTTGCCTGACAATTCAGGATGTGAATCTAAGACACTTTAAAAGCATGACCATTTTTATCTTGGTGGACTGTTATTAATTTAACAGAAAAGCCCCTTGCTGTGTCCTGTCATGTGTGGCAGATTACTTGTCAGCATCTTGAATGTCTTTCATTAAAAGGGGGAAAACTGTAGCACCAGGTCTCCTGTAAAGATGCAATTTACTTCTTACATGGTGAAGTAAGTTTGGGGAGTGAGGACTTAGAAATGCTTCAGTACTCTAGCAAGGAACTTCTCAAAAATACAAAATGCTGTTGCAGTCTTTGTAATTGCTGATAAGCATTTTATCAAATCAGTTTCTCAGTCAGGAGGTCTTGCCTTCTCTGCCTCTGCCTTTTTTTCCTTGCCAGTCTCATAAAATATACTGTATAGATAAGCCATGTAATCCATTTCTGACTGCATCCAAGCAGTAGGAATGCAACAATATCCTTAAGGAAGCTGCTTAAAATCCAGTGAAATTTTCCCTGGGGAAGGTTTGTTTTATATGAAAAGTAAAATGAACACATAATGGATAAATCATATGTTTAAACTTAATTTAGCATTCCCATGCTATAATGTGTACTTTGAATATGCTTTGTTCTGTGTTGTTTTTTTTTAAACTGAGGTAAAGATTTTCTCACAGATATTCAGTGCTTTCAAACCATAAACTATAATAAAATCTTGTGTACTTACAGTAAGTGCCAAATACCATTTGCACCAAGGTAACATTTAGCTGACATGGTGCAAATGGAATCCATCCCCAGTCAATATGTTGCTTTGTATAGTCCTGAGAATTTTACCTCCTAGTCAGGGTGAAAGCTTTAGTAAATAATTTCAGTAGTTTAAGTGAACATCAGACAACTAGTGAAAACTGTGCCTCTGGCAGTGCTCTTTGGGGGCTATATAAACAAGATTTATTTTGTAGTTATATTAGCCATATTCCTGGCTGTGGATGAGGAATAGTATGAAATTGGAAGCATTGTTGATGGTCTGTAGTTATGATAGATAAGTTGCTTATGTTTATCCTATATATTGTATTCAGTGTACATGTAATATTTTCATAATGTAGTAATGGCGTGTACAGCAACATCTGCATTATTTGGCAGTTAATGTTCTATCCAAATAATTTAAAATATATTTTGTTTTTTACCTTTAGTAGATTTTATGTTTACAGATTTG